AGACAAATGTTAACCACAACAAAGGTAGAATGTGAAAAAGAATCATAAACCCCGTGAAGCCAGAAGAGGTAGGAAGTGATCTGTGGCAAATGTTATTGCCTCTAATACATAAATCATGAGCACACTGCTTTACTGGGTTGACAAGATTAAAAAAATAAATAATTAAAATTTAAAAAAAAAATACCTGATATTCCGCTTTTTCAGAAAGCAGAAGCAGAACTTTGTTAATCTCACGCAAGACAAGAAGAGTCAACCGAGCATCCAGTTGTACTGATTCAATTTCCTCTTGAATTCGTGATATAATCCTGGACATTTGTTCCTTTGAGGGAATGCTTCCACGAGTAGACATGGGAAATACAGAATTAACAAGATCAGACAGGCGACTCAAGCAAAGTGCCAAAAAGGCTGTCTGAAATGTCTCAATAGCAGAAGTCATTTGATCCTTTGCTTCAGAAGTGAGAGCTGGTGGAACTCCTTTGACATCTGTATCACGTGAAATTCTTTCAAGTAGGTTTTCTACCATAGACAAAAGTTTTGGATACCCAGTTGTGAATGTCTCTTTCACAAAACTTGATGCAGTGAAAGTGGATTTCATCTGGCTTGCAAAAGATTTCACAAGGGCCTCCCAAATACGAACTGTTAGCATAGGATCACCATCCTGATGAAGTATGAAGTCACATAAGAGGCCAAGAAAACTAAATGAGTGACAGAAATAAATATTTGTCAAAAGCGGGAAACATATAGGAGTTTTAAAAGTGAGAAAGCAAAAACTAAAAATGCCATTTGGTGCATCAATACTCTAAAGGAGGTCATCTTTGATCTTTTTATTAAGAATTCAGCTCAGAATGTTTTTCTCTCAACTGAAAACACTTGGAAAAAGTCTACAGCCAAGTAATGTAGGATTAAAGTGGCAGAAATTCCAGACTGAACAATCACAAGCATTTTTATTCAGCAGAGTACATTTTAAGCAATTTCATTTATATTTAAAGAGAGGCAAAATTTGCAAGAGAATATCTTTAAGTCAGTTTGAAACAGTTTTAATCAGCTGTGAGACCAGGGGATATGATACAATGTCTGCATAAATCAAAAGCAAACACTACTCAGCTGTGAGACCAGGGCATATGATGCCATGTCTGCATAAATCCAAAGCAAACACTATATTCTACTTGGTACTCATGAAGTTACATCCAGATTGTTTAACCCTCTTAGCTTTACCAATAGTATGATATTTATTAGAAAAACTAATCCAAGGATAACACCCCCCCCCCCCCCCTCTCTCTCCCCACCCCCCTCCAAAAAAAAAAAAAAAAAATACCCAATAAAAATTACATTTTGGAAACATGGGAAGTGAAGGTACTAACAGAATAATCTTCTAATTTCATCAGTCTAAGGTCACAGAGATTAAAAATAAGTCAAGAGGAATAGAAATCTAATTCCACATAGGAAACAAACCCCACAAAAAACCAAATGCTTCTTGAAAAACAAAAAATAAAAGTAAAAATACTAGTCACCAGCTAGAAAGTATGAACACCTGGACGGCTGGACATGTGAAAATACATGTATATTTATGGCGGCATGTGTATCCTCTAACTGGGACATGTTTACTACATGATTTAAGATTGAAGAATCTCTTTCAACAGGTAAAATTGCAAATAGAAACCAAAGTGCCTTTCAAATTCCCTCATCCATTTTTCACAACCAAATACACAAAATCATGGTTATTCTCAACAGAAACTGAGGATTCTTCCAACTACTTTATCCCTCCTTCCCTTGGGCTCGTCCTCTCTTTTCTTTTGGGCACTTGTTGCAAATCATGAAATCAACTTGTGAACAACAAATTTTAAATTGTTGGTCTTTACTTTTGTTTCTGCTCTTATCTTTTTAATCCTCAAATCTGTATGCAACTGTTTAGGGTAGCTAAATGCTAAAGATGCTTAATAAACGAATTATTTTCTTGAAATATCTCTATGCATTGAGTTCTCCATAACGATAATAAACTAATAGTAACAAAAAATAAATCCCTTATGTGTCATGTCCCACTATATTTTAAACTTGCATATCCTTGTGTCTATGTCCATGCTGCATAGGCCACCGGCACACTCAAAGAATAACTGAATGAGTGCCAACAGCCATGGAAAAATCATCACAGAGTGAAAATGTAAGCACAGAGAAAGGTAAGCAAAGAAACAAATGGTCACAGAAATATTCACTTTAAAGAGGAGTCATCTCATAGGACCCAAGAAACCCACCATCACGCCATGACAGCAACAATATCAAGGTGGCTTTTACTCAAAACACTTATAGCATCACAGTAAATACAATCAGAAATTGTCTTAAGCTGAAAATTAAGATTTTCATGGCACCTATTAGAGAATGAATTAAGCTTGAGCAGAACAAATAAGAGCTTTTACTCACCTGCATGACCTCGTCAAGAAGCAAAACATGAGTAAAGGGGTCTCTTTTCTTGGACAACACCCTCTGTAAATGCCAGATTGCAACTACAATGGAATGCAATTGATCCATACAACTGTTCATCCTTTGCCACAGAGCTTCCTTGGCCTTTGCGCTTCCCCCAAGCTGCGGTGTTCCACTCCTCTGCACACCCCCAGGCCCAAATGCTCCACCTGCAGATATTGCCTTCATATCCAATGCTGCGCTTATACTCTTCACGCCCAATCCTTTGTACTTGCTCACCAGTCCGTCCACAGTTCCTCTCAGCTCCCCCATGTTGTAAAACACTTGCAGGCCAGCCCCAACCTCTGCTTGGTTCAGATCTTCAACTCCCTTCTCCAATACACGCATTCCTTCAGCCCGTAATTTCTGCCCGGTTTCAGTTACCCATTTCAGTTCCGAGTCCACTACATCGATCCCGGACAAATGGTACTCGTTGTGGAGTGAGAGTATCTCGAAATGAAGCTGGGCAGCTTTCGATAAGTCGAGCTTTTCGTGGTCTTGCGTTGAATCCATGAGATCGCGGAGCTTTTTCGAGAGGCGGAGAAAACGAATTGTGGACTGGAGAAGCTGAGTGGTAGAGTGGAGATTGGAGAGCTGGAGAGTCTTGGCGGCAATGACGCGATGGGGATCGGAGAGCTCGGATCGGACTCGTTGGAGGGAAGACTGGAGAGAGGAGACGGAGGAACGGAGGGAGGAGAGAGCGGAGTCCGCCGCGCGAATAGAAGAGAGCTGATTGAGGAGATCCTCGTGGCGGGAGAGGACTTCATGGCGGAGCTGGTGGTCAAGTAGGCGGAGACCATCCTGAAGCTTCTCGATGCGAGACGCCGCGGATCCGGATGACAGAGCGGCAGAGGAGAATCGCGCGGAATCAAAATCCGGCGACAGGAATGCGGAAAATATCTGATCGGAGGCGAACGAGTCAAGCGGCGAGGCAATTGGAGGAGAGAGTGAAGATGGAGAGGTGGCAGTGGAGGGAGTCGGAGCAATGCCGCCGGCAGACGTAGGGGTCGCGACGAGGGATCTATCTCTGAGACTGGTGATACGTTGTAGGGGAGAGGAAGCTGCGGCAGTGGAATACGGTGATCTCTGAATCACCGGAGAAGCCATTGGTTCACGGCGGAGAACGTCGGCGCTATCTATCAGTCTTCGTTACCAGTCTCGGAAAATTGATCGGAAGTAAAATGAAAGAATCATTTATTTTTCATTAGACCCTTCTTGAGGCTAAAACTTTAAAAACTTAAAAATATGTGGGCTATTATATAAAAAAAATTATATTTTTGCCCTATAACTATATACCGACTTAAATTTTGAGTTATATGCGTGATCATTTTTAACTTTTAAGTTTTGAGCAAAATGATTATTTTAGTTCTCAAATGACCTTGTCGGAAACACTTTTACCATGTGGGTAAAAAATGTGATGATTTCCATGACAGAGAAAAATGTTAGGCTCGTGGCTGTCTTTCTTTATTAATTTTGGCGTGCGAGAAACCAAGCCGTATGGGAAAGACATGTGGTGTGGCGGTTTCTTCACTACATGCATTCCGCCAAGTTCATCAACGTGCTCCTCCGCGCACTACTACTAGCGGACCTGCGGACACTTTCTCGACTAAGATGTTATTTCGATGTAGGTTACAAGCCCTTAGGGGAAGCCTCGTTCGATGCAGTTTTGATCTCGCACGACGGCACCTTCATGGCGGCATACAATGGTAAGCTTATGCATTACTTCTCACAACTCATGGCGGAATCTTTGGCTTGTAAGGATGTTCTTTCATGGCTCAAGGACCAAAATGTGTTATATGTGGATCTGCTCGGAGTTACATAGTTGTGTTCTTTCAGGGGACTCAGCCATCTTGCCTTATGTTGGGGTGATTGTTGACCAATGTAAGGCTTCTAGGGCTCTATGTCTTTATTTTCTCATTACTCTTTAAGTTTCGTGTCTATAACTTTAAATTTACATGCTCATACTTTAGCTACTGCAGCTTTTGCTCAGGTTGATTCTATGTACTAAGACTTTGTCCCTCCAGACTCCATTGTTTTGCTCATTCATTAATATACTACAGCAATTTATTTTTATTTTTATTTAAAAAAAAAAGGTTCTCAAATGACCAAATCAACCACTTTATTAAGTGATTAATTGATAGCAAGAATAGTTCTCGAGAGTCTGAAATCGTCACTTTGCGTATAACTTATGAATTAAAGATAATTAGACATATACCTGGGGTATCATTATTCGTTAGACGATCATGACTGAAGTTTTTTTTTTAGTACTATTGATTCTGTTACAATGTAGTATTTGTTCATAACTACTTTCTCAATCTACTGAAGCACAAAGAGTCAGTACCGTATTCACATTCGAATTCACAATTTCTCATGTGGAAGAGCACTTGATAATGAAAATTCTTTGTGCTCAAATTATATAAGCAAGAGATGAAAACTATAAAGGATTGATAGGATAACTCGTAATTTACTTTCTTCAACTAGTATAAATTCTGAGAGTTAAGAATTAATATGTCATAAGTTTAGTCTTGAGTTGAAAAAGAAAAAAGAAAAAAAATCAAAGGAAACAAATTCCCACGATATCACGTGACGTCATGCCTTCGTAAGCGTATCCATCGTCGTTTCCCCTCTCGGTTAAATTAACGGCCACAGCCGACGTAACTCAGTCCAGTCGGGTAAAGTCACCGCCAATTCAGACTCCGGCTCGGCGGCCGCGGCCAAACTCCAACGGTAACTATGAGTACGGTGCAGATCTCAAATTCAGGTTCGAACCCGAACCCGAATATCAAAACGGATCCCAAATCACTCTCGTTCGATGAGGTTTCAAAGCTCTTCTCTCTGCCCCTCTCCGATGCTGCTGATACATTAGGTAAATCCGCTTCTGTATCTCACTAATCTTGTGCCATATTTAAGATTTGATAGCGTTTTAATGATGATTAGCTAGGGTTTCGTAACTTTCGTTGGCTATATGGTGAATGTGCAAGTGAAATTTTTCAGTCCTTTCTTAGAGCATGCTTCAATGAAGTCCTACCATGTTAGGTCGGACTTGAACCAAATTTCTTCCGAGTAGAAGTAGCGCAGTCCAAAATATTATGCATGATGGTACTGCTGTAGTAATTTTAGCTATGTCTGAACAAATTTTGGCTGCATATATGAGCACTAATCATCCTGCATTGCATCGGATATGTTTCAATTCAGTGAAAATAACATGGAATCAATAGCTTTTGCCAAATCTATTCACGGTAGGTGTAAAGCTTGTGCATTTTCTGGAGTTGTCTCTTGAGTTAAAATTAGGAATAAGTAAGAATGAAGGTTGTGCATCTCACTTAATGCATTATGTGTTTTGTGGAGTTTATCTCTTACACGAGATCAGATTTGTATTCTTTCACGAGTCCCCGTCTGGTACCTGTTACATGAACTGATTGACATCTATTCTCCAGGTGTTTGTACTAGTGTGCTCAAGAAAATATGCTATGAGAATGGTCTCGTGAGGTGGCCATATCGGAAGGTATGATGTTGATTATATGGCTTTCAAAACTGTGCCTCAATATGCTATGAGAATGGTTCTTAACCATTGCCAAGGGGGGGCCCTACTAGTTAAACATACTCGGACCTGCCCTCCTTTGGATGCAACTTTTATTTCAGGAAAGGTAATCCTGCAATTTGCCTTGTTCTAACTTTCGAATTGTCTACGAGGTTCAGTTTCTTTCTGGAAAGAGTATTGAGGAAATAAAAAAGGATGCTGCGAAGGAAAAACAGGAACAGCATGCTGAATTGCCAAAACCTGCTGGAGAAAAGCCTAACCTTTCAGCAAATTCTACTCCGTCCACATCCAAGTAAGCTAATTAGGTTTCACATTTTACATTTTTGGGAGGCACACTTCAAACCCATGGATTTATAGATGCTAATTCATATAACATCCTAATGTAGGGTTGCATCAGTCCTTTTTCTCATAGTTGAAATGAGATGTTATTATTTTAACAATTTTAGTACTTGGTTTTCTTTGAACTCGAGATAGATGAGCGAGGATCTCTTAAAGATTGAATAACAGCTGTGAAATATATTTTTGCAGCTTCCTTAGAATTTGGTATATTGCTTTTTTAATTAATAATCTCTTGCATATTGTCTCTCTTATAGAACAGGGAGTCATTTCCTTATAGCTGCTTTTTGTGCATGATAAAGAACTTGTGGGATTAGGTAATTTATTTTGGGGAGTAGAGCCTTTTAATTTGACTAGCACCAAACCTAATTGAGAAACCTGCGCTTGATAGATGCATAATAATGGAGATAAAGGAAGACAAATTTGTTGGTACTATATATAGTTGCCATTGTCATTCCAAATACGCATATTTTCCTTGTCATTATGAATTCTGAAATTGGGAACTGAAAAATCATGTGAACACTTGTACTTAATATGATCTGAATTCCACCAACAGAGGACCTTATGATTAGCTTCCATCAACTTCTTGTCTGTTTCATTCTGATTTTCAATTCTCACTTTCTATATGCCTTTGATTTTAGTGTTTAATACTTATTTCATTGTAGAGGCTCCCCATTGCAAAACAAAGGCAGTAGTGCTGCACAGGAAATGCCAAAATCTGCAGCTGCTTCCCAGCAACAAGGAAGCAAGACTGCTCAAACTTTGAGTTCCCAGCATTTGCTAAGCGTTAACTTGCCAAAAGCTACTACAGCTGGTTCTGATGAATTTAAATATGGGTTTCCATCAGATGGCTTGTCAGCAATCTCTTATAAATGGTGGGGAAGCAGAAGTACTGATGGTAATGAGGATACCAAAAAAGAAGGCAATGCTGAAGAAAGCAAGCAGCAATCAGCAGTGCCCATGGAGGAATCTGCAGTTAAGACAGGTAAAAGCAATGTAGATTCCTTCAGAGCCGATTCACTCTCTGATTTGCGAGAACAAGCTGCCAAAGAAGGGAAAGAAGCCCTGAGGCTCGGAGTCTATCGGGAACACAGTCTATTCAAGCTTGATTTGACAAAGAGAAAGGTGCTTCTTCAAGTATTTAAATCATCATATCCACCACAGTGGGAACAGGAGTAACTTCAAATACCTTTGTGCTAACAGTCATGTAGTATGGACCTGAACCTCTGCTCATTTCTTCTTCATATGATACAAAATGAAGGCATTTGTTGTTCTCCTACATTGTCTTGTCTACAATGCAGAGTTACAACTACTATTGCCACATCCACGCTTCTAAAGTTGTACTTTTGTTCTTCGGCCAGCAATTGAACATGAATACTTCCTTCTTTAAGGATGCCTTAGATTCAGGATGCCTCAGAATTATCTTCTTTCTTGGTCAGGAAGGGTGAATTTAATATTGTTTTTGTATTGCTTAGTAGGGCTCTGGTGACTGTAAATAGTGGAAAATAGGCTTCATTAGACATTCTTCTTGCAAATTTTTTGTTGTGTACTAATCAGAGGTATTTTGGATTTCTAGTGAGATATTTGAGCTTTTTTTTTTTTTTGGTTGCCCAAAGGTATCCCTTTAGCCGATGGCCAGAAGACTAATCCCCCGTCCCTACGGTCAGCACACTAAGTGGTAGGGGACTGGCCAAATGGTTTGCTCCATTCACATGGGTGGGGATCAAACCCCCAACCTCATGCTTAAGGGATGAGGTGCTGAACCACCACGCCAACCATGTTGGTTGAGATATTTGAGCTTTATTTGAGTTTAAAAGTTTTGCATTAAATATTTACATTAACCAATAGTTGCTTTGTTAGTTCTATTATTATAATAAACATTTTTCATATTTTTGAAATGGATGAGGATAAGAGGAAAGAGATGTTGATGGAGTATAGGATAAAACATCACACCCCAACAAGAAGCTTCCTACAAACCTGAATCTGGGGATTCTTCTTCAGGTATGCAAAGCTTTCTTTCTCTTTCCCAGCTTGTTCTGCTTTTGATTCCATTTGACAGGTGATCCTTCTCATTCTGGTGGATAAAAGCAATGCCAATTCATTTGGAGCCGGTTTACTCTCTGATTTGAGAAAACGAGCTGCCAAAGAAGAGAAAGACCCGAGGCTTGGAGTCTATCATCAACACAGTCTATTCAAGCTAGATTCAACAGAAAGAAGGCACTTCTTCAGGTATTTAAATCACCATATCCAAAATTTATCATTAATGCTGAATTAATGACAGTACTATTGTCTTCTTTAGTTGTTTTCCAGGTGGCATTGCAACAAGAATCCTCCTTTGTGATGTTATTTTTGTTTTGCCTCTGCAGGGCTCTGTAAGTAGCAGGAAATAGGCTCTGAACTATACTTTTCATGATGTATAAAACTTCTCTTCTAAAATACAGTGGTGTGAACTGGGAACAAAGTGGTTGGTAATGGATACTCTTTTGATTCCCCAAGCCAAGACGACAACGTCAAAGACATCAACAAAAGAGAAGCAACGGTCTATAGGTGAAGAAAGACAACTGAAAAACTCCAACCTCTTTCGGAGTTTCAGCCCCGCGGGATCAAGGAATTAGGGGAGAAATGAATTGTAATTCTGTGAGAATAGAATAAGGTGGGGATAAAGTGAGAATTCAAATTACATTGTCTGATAGGGAGAAAGGAGCGATATAAAGACTAAAATGTCCTGTGTAATAATAATAATTAAGGGCAAAAGAGTTATTTTCTTATTTTTGTCCTTTCCATGCTATGCTGAATTGTAATTCGTAATGCGTTCGGGAGGGCTACATCCATCACCCGACGACCCACCTTATATTTTTTTCACAAACTTTTTCAAAATTCATCCCACCCCACAAAGTGTATTGACAATTATCGTTTTGGTTAGACTTGTAAATTTGCAACGAGGTGAGAGTTTGGGATTTAGCATTTTGGTTAGACTTGTAAATTTGCAACATGACATGAAATCAAAGATTACACCAATGTTTATTGTCGAGTCAAGAATTACAAGGCGGTTTCACCAAAATGCACTTTTAAATAGTGACTGGATTTTTCAAAAAATCAAAGATTATAACATTTTAAACGAATTTTTTATACAACAAAAGTTGTAAAAGCTTGCTTCTTTTCCTAATTTTCTTTATTTAAATTGCAAGGAATGTTGTCCAGTTGTATATTATTGATGATTGGGATTAGGATTTGATCTGAACTGATTTCTTGCCAATTGTTTTTTTAAAATAATGTATTAATTCTTAATGGGATAATTAATAATTGAAAAAAAAAAGGGAAAAATTAGATTGGCTACTTGCAAAAGCTGCTGCTTGCTGCTGCCAATTCTTTTTAATTCTTCTTTATGCTAATCCTAGTATAAAGATATTCCCACGTGCCATACATGTGGTGCACGTGCAAGGTTTTGTTACTATGCAATATAAGGTTTTAAAACATAGATCACATTCCCATGTGAGATTCTCTTAGAGCATCCACATTGGTTGGGAAGAATGGGGAGATAATGTAAGAGTGATTAGGAAAGAGAGTGTGTGAGAGGAGAGAAAAAAAAAAAGAAAAAACAAAACAAAAAAAAAAATTTAAAAAAAAAAGAAAGTAGTCAGACGCGTCAGGTGCGCCGACTGGCGCGCCTGACGCGCCCGGCTTTTGCCCAAGGCTGTGCGCGAACGCGCACAGCCTTGCTTCTTCTTCTTTCTCTTTTTTTTTTTTTTTTTTTTTTTTTTTTTCTGACAATCTCCCTACATTTGCAGGGAGATTATTTTTCAATTATCTCATGTCCACACTAGCTATTATCTCATGAAGGGAAGATTTAATTCTGAATTCTCCCCACAATATCCACTAGTGTGGATGGCCTTAGTTAACGGCCAAGATTGATTTTATCCACTTAAGCCAACTAGTCACCCTCTATATGTATTGAATTAATACCATTTTTATCCCGCAATGATATTTTTATTTTTGATTCTTTACTTTAAAAAAAAATCTGATTCGATTCAAATATTTTGGACCAAATATGGTTATTTTGAAATAGTCAATAATTCAAAAGTGATTAAGTTAATAGCTAGTTATCTAGCCAATAACTCTATTTATACATGATAGGATAATATTTATCTTCGACTAAATCGTTGATAGAGTTCTCAAATGGGAATAGTATTATTATGGCATGATAATTTTTAGTCTTCCATCAACAAAATTGTTGAAATATCGTTAAATACAAAGATATTTCAATCCTTTTTATACAAAGTAGGTTGAACCGCTATATTTTTTATGTTTATTAAATCATAATTGAAAATCAAAATGCTCTTGTATTTAACGATATTTAAACTGTTTTGTTGATAAATGACCAAAAATAATCCTGTCACAATAATAATAGGACCAAAAATGAATGTTTTAATTAAAAAAAAAAATAATTTTCACCTATAAATCTATGACCAAAAATAAAATTAACTCTAAATTGTATTATTAAAACCATATGCAACAGACTCAATTAAGAAAGTATAAGTAAAAATTAAACTCATAATCTTCTAATATGAGAATCATGTTTCCACAACTCTGCCTCTTTAAAGACAAAGTTAAATCTACTTATTATATGATTTGTCACATCAATTTAGTTTACTAATCTTGTCGAAAATTTGGGAAGATAGAAAAGGATTTGTAGGATATACTTTAATGAAAAGTCTATTGTCAAAAATCAATTACTTTTTCCCCACCATTAGAGGGGGCGGGCTTTAGGATAATTTGTTGACTACGCAAGTCCCTCCATCCACGATTGGACTTTTTCTTTCATTTTTTAATTAATATATTTGAAATCTCAACTTTTTTTTTTTGTTTTTTTCTTAATACATGATAATGGAAAAATAATAATAAACTATACGAGATTGCATAAATTTAGAATGTGTAATATTATATGTGTAAAATAAAGTAACAGAGCTATGTAACAACGAAATCTCCCTTGATTCTTGCCGGATGTGCTTGACTCTATCTTATATAAGTATAAAATGGACTGAATTTCATTTTTGATCCTACTGTTATAGGGGCGTTTTCAATTTTAGTTCACTTTAATTTTTTTTGTCACTTTATAACCAATATTATTGAATGTGTTCCATTTTTAGTCCCACCGTTAGTATTTTCATCAAGAGGCCGTGTAATCTAGGGATATTTTGACATATCTTATCCAAGACTATGTTTGACTAAAAAAATGAGAACATTAAACCTAAAACCTAAGAAACCTCGTCGGCCCATGTTGGAACGAACGAAACGATGTAGCTTTGGCTTCCCATTCTCGTTGTTCGAAGAGCCATCTTCGAATATCTGGGGAGGAGGACGAAGCGTCAGGATTAAAAGAGAAGAGACAAACCTAAAAAGACCAAAATACCCTTTGATTATACGGCCTCTTGACGAAAATATTAACGGTGGACTAAAAGTGAAACACATTCAATAACAGTGGTTGTAAAGTGACAAAAAAAATTAAAATAGACTAAAATTGAAAACGCCCATATAACAGCAGGACTAAAAATGGAACTCACCCTGTAAAATGTAAGCAAATTATGTCGTTAGAAGCCCAAATGTGATGTCATTCAATGAATGCATACATTTGCTTCTTTATGGATATGCTTAATTGAACACATCCACTAACGCTAGGCAAAGCCTCGTTATCACCCCAGGGATGGCAAGAATAAATATTAATTGAATAAAATCTTTAAAAGGAAAAATTGAAGTGGTGATTATAATTTGCATGTGTAGATGAGTATTATAGAGTTACTAAACAATACGTCAACGGAATACCAATATTATAATTTCAATAACAATTTGCTCATATCTACTATACTAATAAGAGTCCAAGAGAGTTAGGCCTATAATGGGTAGAAAAAATGGCGGTCAAATTTTTTAATCAAATGAATGGCTCAGATTGATCAAATTTTAATTCTAAATTATCCTTAATTTTATGATTTTCCGTTAACTTTTCTGTTAAATATTATCTTTTCCGTTAATTTCTGTTAGTTCACCGTTAACTTACTCATTGATTTCAATAAGAAATGTCTTAGGTTCGAACCCCATCCCAATCAAAGTTGACATAATTATTACTCTATTTTACTCTTATTAAATTAAATACTAATATAGTAGGTACAACAAAAAATAATACATATGCATTTCTTTAATTTATAATTATGTGTCTACAATGCCTTTATTCAAAAAAAAAAAATCATTATCAATAAATTAAATAAGAAAAATAATTTCATTAGTTATATTTTTTTTATTTTTCTCCAATATAAATATTATTTACATTCAAAATTCATCAATTAATTATATTCACTACATTGTCTCTACAATGTCTACGTTTATTCAAAAAAATTTAATCATTATCAATAAATTAATTAAAAGAAATAATTTCATTAGTTATATTGTCTTTATTTTTTCTCCAATGTAAAAAATATTATTTACATTCAAATTCATCAATTGATTATATTCACTACATTGTCTATTATCTTTTTTGTGCAGTGTTTTTTTTTATTATTAAATATCAAAGTTATAATACAAAATAATGC